CAGAAATACACATGTAATGCTACCTCTGTAATAACTGGCAAAGAATGGTTGTAAGTCAGATGCAAAATGTGCAGCATGGATGGGAGAAAAACTGGATTCTTAGAGGCACTGGGATGCGGACATGGACAATTCAGCATTGATTCAAAACTTTAAAAAATTGATTTTCTAAATAATTGATGAATGTAAATGGTGGAACTCAAATGCAAGGGCAGTGCAGCCCTCGGGCAGTCAACAGAGCATCCATGTTGCCTATCTTGTTAGCTTATCTTGTGTCATCTCCACAAAAGTCAGCAGTTGTGGTCATGTTTTAATTTGATGTTTAAACAGAATTTGTGAGACAAATGTGGTGTGTATTCTGAATACTTGCTACATCAACAATTTGGAGATTAAAGGCCCAGATGCATCAAACCGACTTCTAAGAACTAGTGGCAATGAAAACCAACTGATGCGTCACCTCACGTTGCCAGTGCCACAGTCAAAATGTTGCACATGAACACACCGCAAAGACTACAGCTGCCGGCCAACCAGCATGTATGTTCTGTGACTGCGTGAGAGGAAATAACTCTACCCGCCAGCAGATGGCGGTAATCTGTATTTGTCATTCAAAAAGGGAAACTAGAAGAGTGACAGGACGGATTCAAGATGCTAGTTAGCCAGTTAGCACATTGACAATACAGCCTGATGCTGAAAGAAAAATGTATATATACTGTGCACTGTTGAACAATTACACAAACAATTCCGAACTGTTTCTGCTCTCAGTGGTCAAAAAAAATCTTACCTAATATAACAACTCTGCTTTGATCTCACACCCTCTCGACATTAGCCATTTTGCTTTCCTCTTTTCCATTTCTCTTCTTGTGCACTGAGCTGAACTGCCAATCAGACTGATTTAATGACAACACAACAAAGCACTCCACCTCCCCCTCATTTTGTTATCCGCATACAGACAGGAGACTCTAAGGTGTTTTCAAATTAACTGTGGACCATTTTGGATATGTTTCATACTGTGTTTCAGTGTAATAAGGATGTCAGTAAATGGTTTGTCTTACAATATAGCATACTAGAGGACTGAAAACTGTGCCCTCCTTTTCAAATCGAATCGAATTTGATTCAAATCAGGCACCAAAAATTGTATTAGAATTGAATCATGAGGTTACGTAAGATTTCCAAAGACACTCATACTTTCCAGTGCTAAAATATTTAAAATGGTCTTGTATGTATAATCTTATTTTAGCTCTTTGGACACGTCTCATGTTATCAGCACTGACAGCTCCTAATTTAAAAAATGATGTGAAAAGTTTTGACAGAGAACTGTCCGTCACTGAGATGCAGAGATGGCTTCAGTTAATAAATAAACCAGAAGGTAACAAAAAAAAGGCAGAAAGAGCAGCATGTTTGTCACGTTAAGACCAGGGCCTTTAAAATAATCGCTAAACTGCCAAATTAATGGTTTTTGGTTTGTACACTGAGTAGTCATGAATATTATTGATATTGAATATAAACTGTATTGTAGCTAATGTCTTTAGATTTGATCCTACAGCACATTTCAGTGTCTCAGGTAACAAATCAAAAGCCTCATGTGTGTGTGTGTGTGTGAGAGAGAGAAAGAGATTTCTTTGTCGCCATAGTGACGTTCCCTAATCTTACCCCTGGCTTCCAGCCCAGCATGCCTCACTCCCACTCAGCCTCCCTCCCTCTGTTACTCTCCATCCCTCTGCTTCTCCAAGTCTCTCTCTCTCTCTCTCTCTCTCTCTCTCTCTCTCTGTCTCTCTCTGTGTCTATTTGTGTGTCTCTCTCATTGTCTTTTTGTCTTTGTCTCTTTTCATGCTGTGCACTCTTTGTCCTTTTCAGTTTAGCCCCACAGACAATTGGTTGCAGGTGCAGAAATATAGTTACACCAGCAGCAGTTATACAGACATGTTTCGCAGCAGAATTATGTACTTGTTATTGCAGGAAGAGCACAGGTGTAACTAATGACATTAATTACTGTTAACTCGGTTTCATTTACGGGAGGTGTTTGTGAGCCAGCGAGCACAATAAGCTATCATTAATGTTATTAGTTACACCTGTCGCTGATGAGTCAAAATGCCTGCTAAATGTGGGATTACAACCGTTAAAGATAACCTGTCGGTGGCACTCAGCCCTTAACTCATTCATGGAAGATGGAAAGCTTTAACAGCGGGTCACAAACACATCAGTAGTTTCCTGAAACTGATGGGCAGTGTAATTTTTTAACAATCATCACTCAAACAGGAGTAAGCAGTGCATTTACTGGGGACTATTTTCAGACGTAGATTAACACGCATTTGGAATCAAGTGAGTAATAAAGGCCCAGAATAAACTACAGGTTGCTTGTGATGGTGACGTAATAATCGGTGCAACATTGATGCCTTTTAACATGTGATTTTTGCACAATATTACAGCTGTATGGCACAGAGGGAGTTGGTTTTGGTCTTTTCAAGGGATTTTTTGACAATAACAAACAACAGAATATCTCCAGGCTTATACTTAAATATTAATAAATGCAGTTTCTTTGTCTGCCAATCTTTAGCAATGTCTTTTAAACCAGCATGTGTTTTGTTTGTGTATGACTTCCCTAACTCACACTCACACAGTATCCAACAGGGGGAAAAGGGAACAACAGAGGCTTATAATTCATCATCAGGCAAAATCAGCCACACTGTCAGATATCACTGCAGGATAAACAAAGTATGCACAATTAAAATGAAGCTAAAATCATCATCATGTGTTTAGTGACACAAACAATCTCTCCATTTGTGAAAAGCTCAGTTTTAAAACCAGAGCGGAAATAAAAGCCTGGAGCAATACAATGATTCTACTGACCTATAAACTTGTTTATGTGTTACTCAGGACTTTCTCCATGTCAGGATATTTTCTTTCCCCAGTGATCTGACTGGTCAGTGGTCAGAGTGACCAGTGACCAGTTTGGATCTGATCTTCTGAAGTTTAGCTGCCAAATTATCCGCAGACTACTGTAACAGTGTTCTTTATGGTGCATTATCCAAAGTCCTAATTAACTCTAATACATCAGGAACTCTGCTGCCCATCTGCTCACCCATACCCGCTTCTGCACATCACCCCTGTACCCAGAACCTCCACTGGCTCCCTGTCCCACAACGCATCCAATTCAAAGTCCTTCTCCTCACTCATAAAGCCCTCCATAACCAGGCCCCCTCATACATCATTGACCTGCTCCACCGCCACACTCCTTCCCACAGCCTCCACTCTTCTGATGCCAACCTCCTGACTCCACCACTCAGGACCAAGCACCAGACCTTGGACGATAGAGACTTCTTCATAGCCATCCCCTCCCTCTGGAACACTCTCCCCAAACACATTTGACACTGCACTGACCTCTCTCGGTTCAAATCACTCATCAAAACTTATCTTTTCAAAACAGCATTTAATATGTGTGAATGATTTTGTGTGTATTTTGCTTGTTTTTAACTAATGTAAAGTGTCTTTGAGTACCATGAAAAGCGCTTTACAAATAAAATGTATTATTATCATTATTAGAGGTCTCCTCCTCCAAACGGACCCAGTTACTGAAACAGCAAGCACTGAATAAAGCAGTTTTGTTTTAAAAAATCAGGGTTTCTTCAACGCTCTTTAGCAGGAGGAGGTGCTAGCTAAGCTGCTGCTAATGTTAGCTCAGCTTGTTTCTAGCTTGTTTAAAGGTTAGAATTGCTTTAGTCTTTCAATTGACCAGGTTTTTAGCGGTAGCATAATTATCTGAAGAGGTCTCTTCCACTCCAAAATAAACAGACTTGGTGATTGAAACTGAATAAAACAGTTTCATCTTAAAAATTAGTGTCTCTCAGACACTCTTTGGTTGACAGGGAGGTCAGGGGGGGCTGTGATCCGAGCTGATGCTAATGGTAACTCAGCTTGTCTCTCTGATAACTTACGATCAAGACGTTCAATGACTAAAATCTTCCATCCAGTTAAAAGATATAGCTAAAAAAGACGAAGGCCAAAAAAGTAATGGCGACATGTCTTGAAATCTAAGCTTGAAACAGTAAGAAAGCAGTCGGCTGGCAATGTTTTAATGTTCAGCTATCAGGAAGACAGGGAGTGCTTATGGAAAACTTTGTGGTCCTCAAACATACCATCAACTATAAGCAGGGTTTGGTTACTTGACTCTACATTGGTAAAAGTTTTGGCTTCTCTGACTTGTTGACCTTTTCCCTCTGCTCTGCAACACGCTCCACCTGTTGGAGTTTCTAGACAGCACTGCCTCTGTTTTTGTTGAAACAGACTGTATTTGTCTAAAATAACAGGTTTGTCTCTGTCTGCTGAAAGTAAGCACAGTCTGTTACTTCACTGCTGGCAAAATCTAGAATAATTGAGAAGTTTCATTCCAAAAATGAGACATCCATCACTGAGGATACTGTCACTTCTCCAAACAAAAACTGGTGGTGTTACATGGTCCAGTATTAAACACCTACTTGCAAAACAGTGATCAGTCACTGGAAATATTGAATTTAGGAAGCAAAATATTTCCAAATATAGACATCCCAGCAGACTGCTTTGAATAAAAAACCTTCAATTATTATGGATGTCATTTCTACCTCATTAGTGGAAGAGAGAAGCTCACATAAGCTCTCACAGGACAGGAAATCTTTCGGTCAACTTCACTCAGGCAACAGACGCTGAAATAACAGTTCTGTCATGCTTTTAGTCCCACAAAGAGACTTGAAAGGATTACAAAGGCTCAGTTTGTTGCTGTGACTATCAGAAAGATTACAGATTAATGTGAAAAAAGTGCTCAGAAAGTTGCACAAACAAATACCTGAAGAGTTGAGACTGTAGAAGCCAGAGGATGGGACAGGAAGAGAAGAACAGATAGACAGCAGCCTGCAGGAGAGGAAAAGAGAGGAGAGGGACAGGGAGGTGAGGAAGGACAGGAAGGCAAGGAGGAGAAGGAAGGTGAAAGGAGGAGGGAGAGGAAGAGAAAGGTGAGGGACAGGAGGGGTTACCGGTATTCCTGCAGCCATGGCAGACAGTAGTTTTTGCCTCCATCTGTCCTTCCCTGTCACTGTCCCATCCTCCTGCTTCTCTGGCTGCAACACAGAGGGACAGGTTACACACACACACACACACACACACACACACACACACACAATAATAATAATTTAGTTTAGTACCATAATGTGTCTTATTATTGAAAAATGTCTGATGCACACAAAGGATACCTGACGATTTATGCCACCATTGACTTTTCAAGCAATTTCACTGCACAGACAGATTTCTAATGTTGACCATGACAGTTCCACCTCAGTCAGTGCGCGTTGCTGTGATCTCAATCATTTGATGTAGGGGGTCATAAAACTCTTGTGTTAGACCTGTGTTAAGTCTGTCACTTTTTAGCAAAGTCAGTTTTCTCGTTTTGACATTCTGACATGTTTAATTAACATTATCAGATGTTTTTAGTCTTGGCTCATGCATGTACTAAAGTTAAATGATGTGAACACAGTCAACAACCAATGGCTGCACTCTCTCCAGCACCAAACAGGAAGCAGCAAACCAGGTCGACAGTAACCATGGAGGGGACTCTGGGGCATAAGAACGTGGACAAGTCTCAGTTCTCTTGGAAACTGGTGAGGCTGGAGACTGAACAATAGACTCATTTTCAGTTTGCCTCTCATTCCAGTAGTCTCCTCCCACTAAAAAAGAACACCTAACCAACGGAGGCTGGTAGCAAGTTACACAAATGTAAAGTTTGTACACAAATACAGTTTCTCTTTATTGGTTATACTAATGCAGAATTGACAAGAATACTGTCAACATGACGCCTTTTATCTTGTGTTTCTAGAGTTCTCTGTTTTGGCAGACATGTAGGGAATACTTAGGCCTTGTTTACAGATACTGATACAGATAAAAACAGATTTTTATTTATCCCGTATAAAAAAAAACAACGGGTTTACACAATCAGTTGTAAAAACGATATGTTTACACAAAAATGCAGAAGCAGCAGCTTTTCACTGCAATTAGCATGCCAGGCCAGTAGGTGACGATACGCCATATGTCGAACACCATAGAAGAACATTCTGTGCATGCACAGTGATTTGTTTTCCTCTTGGCGCTAGTGATAAAAACAATGATAAACTACATTTTAACCTTATGTAGCATAGTTAGGTGCTATGCACTTACTAATATTGGGCACAGCAGACGTCGTTGTTTGCCGATGTAGCAGTGATGTTGATGCAGCAGTTCATTTGTAAGCTCGTAAGTAGTCCCAGAAGTGCTAACAAAATGTAAACAACCCCGCATATATCCGCCATTGTTGTTGTGGTTCCCGGGCGCCTAATGGGCATGTGCGAACTGGTTTGCAATGTCATCGTTTTCCAAAATCTCCGTCTATCCTGTTTACACGTCTCCATAGACACGGATATTATCACTTTGGAAGCCATTTTTGAAAATCTCCATTTTCGTCGAGAAAAATGCCGGTTACGTGTAAATAATAAGATAAATACCCGTTTTCAGAAATATACCGAACCGTATAAACAGGCCCTTAATATGTCATATTTCTTACAGAAAGTTAAGCCTAATATTTTCCACCAGGAGCAGGATGGGCAATAATCTCAAAACGAATCTAGCTGTAGTCTTGCAAACAGTGACCCTGCAAGATCCTCAGTCTTTGCAAAATCTGATAGTTGGTGACTGAAAATGAAAACACATTGTCTTTTGACATTGGAGGCTGACCGACTTTAGTCCAAGTCTTTTCAAAGTCTTTACGTGTATGGTAGGCATTACACATTCCATGACTGTAAAAGAAAACTGAGGCAAAGACCAACCCAACACAAGGCCAGTCAAAAAAGAGAATTCTCAGTGATCATGGTATAACTGTATATAATCAACCATTTCAATTCCTTGTAGGGAAACTTTGTGGTGCTTTTCCTTTTCCTTGAATTCCAACCAGCAGATGGCGTATGTTGACACGCTCCCCATAAGTTGAAATAAAAAAACACCAGTGGGATCCTACAGGTTTCCAACTTTTCTCCCCAGATCAGGTTGTGAGATGGTGTTGTGGGCATTGTGTACCGTGTGAATTTATTAGCCCGTGGCAAGAAGCCATCTGTCACCCAAGCAAAGTCTATGTGGGCCAGCAGGACTCAATGTGATTGACCCAATTTACAGAGGGAATCTAGATCATTCCCAATCATTAGACTATCACACTAATGTCTACCACACGTTTTGGACACCAAACTATCAGGAACCATGCAGGAACCAACTGTTTCCAAATGTGAAGACTGAGCCAGGTGGAAGAGTTTCATAATCAAGTGAATACTGTTTTTATCTTTCCACAGAATGCAGTAAAGTATACTTACTGTAATCATGAGGCAAGGTGGGAATATCATGTGTATCTTTTTTAAAACCTGCTGTTATTCAAATAAATGTCAAAGTCTGTCATACATATTGTGAAAAAAAAAATGAGTTTACTGTATAATACCTCTCCATTGATGTTGTTGACAGTCAGGTCCAGCTACGAGAATGGATTTCATACATTGTTCATATTATATAAAGTAAACACTTGTGAGTTAAGTAAACAGGTTTTATGAGAAAGATGGAGGTTTCTAACATTCCCTACCTCATTCTTTTTCTTCTTCTTCTTCTTTTCATTTTTCTGCTTCCGCTGTCTTTTCTGAAGGAGGATGGTTTCGTACTTTGGCCTGGGATGTTCCTAGGGGAAAAATAGGAGAAAGAGACAAATATGTGAATATGATGTACAAGTCTGTGTGAGAAAAGCTCCTACCTGTGTGTGTGTATGTGTGTATCTGTGTGTGTTTTTTCTATGTGTGTGTATGTTGCATCTGTATATTTCAGTCTAGTCTCTGTGGAACATTCATATTGGACAATTCTGCAGCAGGTGACTTGTTTAATATGCCAATGCGGGAGGTAGATTGTACTTTAAGAGTTCTAGATGCGTCAAACATGACCAGTTACCTTAAACATACTGTAGATGTTGTGCACTGATGTTGTACAGTGGCAATGAATAATCTGGCAAAACCTTGTCACTGAAATTTCAGAAACAATGTCACAGAAAATAAGTAGTTGTGCTGAACTGTCCAGTGTTCTGTCTTGTGATACAGCTGATGTGTTTGTATGTTTATATGAACGAACACATTACTATTTGCGTGTATTCAGACCTATATCACTGTGTATCAGTGACTTTCTTTGCATGTGTATGTACTGCATATACCTCATCCTCCTCGATGCCTGTCAGATCCCAACTGAAGCTCAAACTGATCTGACGGCGCTTCCAGTGCTCCAGGAACAGCACCGCTACACAAACACACAAAAAGAGTCAAGTCATTTTGATGAACATTTTTATAATTAGCATCATCTCAAGATCTACTGACAGCTAGATGCAGTTTTTTTTTAGGATTTATGGTTTGGCAGCTGATCACTGATCTGACTGCTGATTAAAATGAAGACTGTCAGCACATGAACAGATAAGAGGGGAAATTTCACTTTCCTACTGCCTAATTTTACAAACATTATTTACTCATGGTCTTACAAATCCATACCATAAAGTTAGTAGAATGGCGTTCCATAATCTATCAAGGTCATAGTTTTATGAAAAAACATCTAGTTGAGTAGCTTTTTCTGGAGCTTCCAAACACATCTCACAATCACACTTCAGTTTCCAGTGTCAAAATGTATTTTCAGGCAAAAGTCATTGTTTTTGTTTTCACCAATTTTCATTGAAAGACCTTAAAAAGCTGTTTTCCCATTTCCTGCTGTAAGAGCACACTGTTAAGCCCAATTCACAGTAAACTAGATGCTCTCATGGCAGCTCACTTTCAGAAAGAAAAATGGGACAAACGTAAATTAAGCTGCTGATTACAGTATGCATCAGATAATTGAAGAAAACAATTAACTGACTACATAGCGTTTGTGCTGCATATAAAACTTTTAGATTGTCCAGATTCATTTTTAAATGTATTTTTGCTGTGTGTTGTTTAGCCTGTTGCTCTTAGCAAGATGTGGGCTGTGGTCGAATAATCTTTTTTGCTTAGGACGGTTCATAAATTAGTGAAATGGCCCAGAAGTACCCAAGTGGCAGCCATGACAAGAGCTGGTCAAATTCTCTAAGGAAAGGTGCTTCAGTGCTTTCTTTCTTATTGTCTGGAGCATTGGATACACTGGACCATCCTTTACAAAAAGGAAAGGAGATAATGCCGCCTCACAATTCTTTGTGGCAGCAACATTTAAAGTGATGCAGTGTTCGGCCGTTCACAAAAAACCAATCAACATGATAAACACAAGAGACGTAGACCATCATGTAAGTTACCATTGCTGATTAAACATTTTCCATATGCTTCTATGTTCCGAAGTCTCAACATTATGTTAAACCCATAGGAAAACTCTGAACGCTACACTACTGTAGTTAATGGTGTAGCATAATGTAATGGGCCTATTACAGTAGTTATCTACACTTAATTTACTTAAACATTAAATGGCTAGTAAAAGTTAGCCCTATTCCATTATTATTGGTCCCGTGCATTCTGCCCTCAGTATAACCTAAAATCAGACAGAACTGTCAAGTTGTTTTTCTCATCTTCAGTCTCCCACTGATTCCACTTGAAATGACTTCCACTGGGGAATGGGATTTGATTTCCCTAACCAATCACTTGATACCAATGTAAATGCCTGAATTTATCATTTTGAGTTGAGTCAAAGACATGAAAACAAGTCAAATCAAACTACAACGTCGGGCGATATTGAGCAGACGTGTCAATTTACAACAGCCTCAATAGCAGAGTCTGTCTTGTCTGTAGTGGTTGCCATTGATGTTATTACTCCTCATTGGTTCTGGGAAAAAGCTTGACAACTCTTGACAATGGCGTTCGTCCAGCTCATCGCACTGATTGGCTGACTGTTAGTCCGCTCACGGTGCTCACTGGATTGATTGTTTTTCAACCCAGAAAAAGGTATAATGTCATAATGTCAGATGACTACCTCAACTTAGTGGAGTGGGCAGATTGAAAGATCTGGACACAAGTATCTTTCAGTAACATTCTGTTATCCATGGTGTTAACAGGAGTTAAAGAATCCTTTCACCAGCACTGACATGGACAGTGGTGAGGCAACATCAGGTCCTTGGCCATTGTTTGATGCCATGCGTGAGGCACTTGGAGAGAGGCCACCCATTCTGCCCCCCACCCTCAGTGCCTCATCCTTGGTGCCAAACCATGGCCAGACTGCTGCTTAAGCCTCATCCCCGAGTTGTGAAGAGCCTTCACAAATGTCCCTCCTGCCTGGCACAGATAACGATGAGTGGTCCATGCCCTCCACCTGCTCCGAGCAACCCACTAAAAAGGCAGAGGAGGGGCGGGAGCATGATGGCCTTCCTCAAAAAGCAGGCTAAAGAGGAGAAAGCACGGGATGTTGCTCTATGCGAGCAAAATGAATCACAACTAAGCTTTTTGCTGAACTTGTTTTTTTTTTTTGTTTTTTTTTTTAAGAAAACCTAGCCCACCTGTAAGTGCTGTCTCGAACTCACTGTGCTGCACAAGCACCTTCCTCCCACCTCTTACAAGATGGCCATTAGCAATAGATGTCAGGAGCATCTTTTAATGATTTTAGTTCTTCTTAGGCATCCCATGGTCTTTGCATCTCTCACACAAAGATCCACTGTAATAAATATGACAAATACTGTATGAAAGAAAAGGCAAGTTCTTGATTTATTAATGTGCAAACAAAAATTGAAGAAAAGTTCTTGAATTATTGACTAAAACCAAAATGTGCTGCTAGTCTGTCTTCCATGTTAATCCCCTTGCATAGGTGTTGATGGTGGTGGAACTAGATTCTCTTCCTCAGCTGGCTTGAATGTCCCAGCAGTGATGCAGATGTTATTGAGCACTGCACATACTGCAACAACACTAGGAGGAAAGGTGTGATCCACCTTAAGAGTTTTGGAGAAGATCACTCGCCACCATGCCTTCATCATGCCAAAGGCCCTCTGTATAATTGATTAGGCTCTGGCATGGGGAGCGTTGAAGCGCACCTCCACTCTTCCCCGTACTGGTATGAGGTAATGAGGTTGGCTGGTGCAGTCAGACATTGGTATCCTGTAACAAACACTGGAATATTTCTTAGCACCTTGGTGTTGTAGACTGAATTACAGCAACCAACAAATATGTCCAGAAATTTGCCAGGGCTGTCACAGAATGCCTGAAACTGAAAAGAGTGAGAAAAGAGTTTCCTGTTCAGGTAACCTTGTGTCTGTGGACCAATGGGAGCCTTGATGCAGATGAGGCAATTATCAATGACTACCACACAGTGGCTGATGGCTGGGCTGTTGTCAAGGTGAAGGGAGCCATGGCCAACCTTAGCACTCTGTGCCATTGTGGGGAAGTGAACTACTTTGTCTAGGAGAGACAGGTCTGGGTCACACATCTGATATACAGTTTCAGACAAAGACCTGAGAGACAAAGGTGTAAAACAATCCGCATGCCAGCCAGTAGATCCAGCCATGGGTCTGCTCACTCCTGAGAAGGGCTACCTGTCTCTCAATAGATGGCCTAGACAGACGGTAGTCAAAGCGCATGCATTTCAATCGATTTAAGTAGATCTGTGGGACATGGGTGTTGGGGATAGTATATATTTTGCTCCTCTCCTGTACAAGACAAAGCAATGTGTAAATACAATGAAGTGTAAATGCATGTGTAAAGTGGACTATGTAAGCTTGTCATTGGCCAATTATTTTATATGGTAACGAGCTTCCTGAGCTACATGAAACTAGTCTTGCATAGCCAGACCTATCTCCAGACTTGGTTTTTGCACTGTCCGTGAAACAACAACAACCTCTGAGCAACGGGTGGGTGATATATCGAATATACTCTATGTGTCACGGCTTGTTCCAAGGGTGATGAAAAAAAAAAGACTTTATCACAAACACTGAGTATAAATTGACTATCACCATTTTTTTAATCCACCGGCATGAGACTCGCTCCGGTGTTTCAACTCTCTCTCTCTTTCTCTCTCTCTCTCTCTCTCTCTCTCTCTCTGAACTTATCACTGCCAAGGAGGTTGAAAAGAGGAGACATGCTTTTTATATGAAAATGTTCTATTGTATATCGGCAGCCATTCATTCGAGTGTATCCAAAAAGTTCCATCAGGCCAAGTGCACCTAAAGAGGCTAACAAGAGTGCACCCAAGGAGCACCTGAGCACAAACCGTCCCTTTATTTCTAGTGCTGTCTGCTCACTTGTGATTGGTTTAAAAAAATACAAACAACCCAGTGTACTTTTATTTACACTTGTAAGGAATTATGATGGGTTCAGCCAAATCTTTCATTAGTGCTAGCACAACACGAGAAAGGTCTGGCTATGCAAGACTACAGGCATAAGGATAACCATAAAAAAACATGACAAACTGGCAAGTAAAAAAAAAGCTGGGCTGGTATAGGCAGAGCAGGTTCTAATGAGAGGGATCGGGAAGCAGTTAGGTGATTAGATGATGCAGGTGAGGATGTTGGTGGGAAATGCCAGGATGTGGCTAAAGAGGGATAAAAGGATCAAAAAGTGACACCAGTATGCTGTGTGCTTTTAAACCTACTGATAGATTATTCTACATAGGAACACATTAGACATGCAGAAGAAACTCCAGTTAGTCTTTATGTTCAGAATAAGCATGCTCTGTGATCTATGTTCAAAATTCCTATCAGCATCCTCTTACCATTTGTGAAAGCAATGCCAGGAGCCTCTTCAGCAATACCCTCCTCCTTTGAATGTCTCTTCACTGTCTTCAGGTGAGCCACACGGCAGCAGCAAGCTCCATATCTCCGATCTTGCTCTATATCTCTGATACACTTCTGCTGCCCTTTTATAGGCCACTAATTTTAAATAGGCCTATCGGGATATACTGCTCAGCTGGCTGAATGGGTTACTGGCCATTCATTGAGTGGAGTAGTCTTGGACCCTTTGTTATCTGATAGTAATCTTGCATACATTTTATGAGTATTTTTCATACAATCATTCTAATTGGGATTCATGCCCATAAATATAAGTGGACAGGAAGGTGAGAGTGAGCAACCATTCTCAGTGTGACAAGTATTTCACTTTCTGTGATGGGAAGCTTGCGGTTCACCAGGTTGTCCATGTTTACATAGGCGGCATGAAATAACACAGTGAGAACACATAGGGTGGAGTATTTATAGCCCCTTTTACACTTCCTGTTTAAGGCCAGTATTATGTACTGTTAATCCACCGTACTGTTGTTAATACAATTGCGGAATGGTGGTACAGAGTTGTCTCGCCTTCAAGCTGGCAGCAGAGGCAGTAAAGACACCAAATTGACTTCTGTGTAAAAGGGACAGCTGGCAGGAAAGGAACATGGATAGGACAGGTGTGACATTTTGACGTGTTTTGATGTGTTATGTGTGCGATCCACAAAAAGTATTCCATAGCAGTTAGCAGCTAACTCAAAGAGGAAGAACAGCGGCTGAAAATGTCTACAAATTGGTAAAACAATGAGGTCCTGGAAGCTTCTTACCCTCCAAGTAGAGGACGAGATCAACTGACATATAACAGGAACAGTAAATGATTGTTATTGCCATTGTTATTGTTCATTAAGTGCTGCAGAGGCATACGTAGTATGTCACACTAGAGGCTGACCGTTGTGTTACATGTCATGTCCATCACTGCTCTTTTGCTTCCGGGACACCAACATGCTGTTTAAAATCACCCATTGTTTGATTCTGTGTAAAAATGCGAAGGCGGTGTAAAGTAGGGACTTCTCAGTGCCCCTTTAGTGAAATCTCTATGTAAAAAAGGCATATGATGGGCTTTTAGTAGATTATCTTTGGGACACTGTTGTTTCACCATGGCATATCCATGTCAATAACATCCGCCGTCACGTAATTTTGTAGCCTAGTGCAGCTGGACTCACTTAGCAACGCAGTTGTCTTTTACTTGGTCCTTACAAACTGTCTATTACATCTTTCCTTGACCTCATGATGTTTTCCATCAAGGTCAAGAAAAAGTGTTCGGGAAAAGGCATAGAATGTTTTTCTGACTGATCGACCACAGCCCACATATTAAGGTGAAGGAGGTCATAAGATGAGACAACATCAAAGAGCAACTCCACATTCAGCCCAATTGCTCACACACACACACACACACACACACACACACACACACGAACAACCTCACCCCACAGAGACATGAAGATGGCGAAGAAGACGGTGGCGGGGTTGTCAAAGAGGTGTGAAGCCCTGGCGGTACCACAGGCGGTGCTGAGCTGCCAGAAGTCACAGGCTCCATCACACAGAGGACACATGGTGAAATTGAGACGCTCGTCACACATCTCCAGACTGAAGGGGGAAGAAATCAAAAGTGAATTCACAGAGCACCTAGGTCCAATGATGTTTCACAATTAAAGCTGATACGATATATCTAAGCCTCTTGCACCTAAAATAGTATCAAATGAACTAAAGTTCTGTGTTCCTGTCTGTGGATTCAGCCCCAGTAAAAGGACCCGGAGTAACATTGAACTATTAGAAATGAATGGAACTTTTAACACATAACTACAATACAAACCTCTCTGCTTTGACCTGATTCATACTCTGTGTAGGCTGAATTATGAACCTTATGCTTCATGACACACTCTCACACACACACACACACACACACACACACACACTCACACACACACACACACACACACACACACACTGCCAGCAGTGCCTTCTGTGTTCCTCCCACACAACCCTGTCTTAAGCCAGATACTGCAGGTATCTGGGCAATCCCTGTCTGCTGTGTGTGTGTGTGTGTGTGTGTGTGTGTGTGTGTGTGTGTGTAAGGGCACGTGTGCATACATTTAAATTGAGGTAGGAAGAGATCCAGATTTTCTGCATCCTTCTAATGTTGGTATATTATCTGACATCATGTTGTTTTTATCTTTTAACATCTTCAAAGTTAAAATCAGGGGAAATGTTCTCCTCACAGTCTCACAGCCATTTGAAGCATCTTCACAGACTAGTGTTAGTAGTGTCAGCCAAGCAAAACTGAGTAGCAAAAAATGTAGTCTCAAATGGATTTTGTCCTATTTTGCACCTTCACTGAATATACAAGTTGTGTTTTACAGTAGTTTTCTTCCTCAAATGAAGCTGTGGTGCACTTTATGGTACCTGGGTATGTTAGTATCCACTGTCGCCACCCCGTAGCCAAACACAATGATTCCCACTATGGAGGCTGGTATCAGCAGCTGAGTGTAAACACCGAGCCATGCAAAGTACAGACCGATCTTCTCCCCAAAATACTTCCTGTGGGGTCAGAGGTCAGGGATTAGGGGGTGAAAGTGACAGAGCAGGTCATGGTCATGGCAGATCAGTCTATGTAGACTTAAGCAGCATGCAACACAGGTGTGAGATTCCTCGTAGTGTGTTTGATCCTGAAATAGAGTAAAAGCATGCCAATGTTTTATTTAGGGCTTCTGTTGTTTACGTTGAGCTTTTCACGAGGCACCTCCTTTCAGATTTGTGTACAAACTCTGCCTGCTATACTAGGACTGACAGACCTAAGCCCCAGGCATGGATTTAGGAACAGTCTTACCTGTAGTGCTATTTCTCAGTCTCTACGTTTTGGTGTGAGTTGCCGAGTGTTGGAGATATCGGCCGTAAAGATGTCTGCCTTCTCTCCAGTATAATAGAACTAGATGGCACTCAGCTTGTGGTGCTCAAAGTTCTGAGTAGTTTCATGCTGTAACTATTTTCTGTCTACCGAACTACACCCACCAACCGTGTTCCAGTCTTCCAGCAATCACTCTCTTAACAGATGAGTTGTGTTTTTCATGCATTTTCATAAATTAACATTGATCATTTACTGATGGGCCATGCAGCCAACAACACTTTTATCTGGAGGAAAGATAGATCTGGTGATAGATACTGTAGCTACAGCCACAGCACAACTTTACTCTATTGTGTTGGCAAATGTCCATCAGATAAGTAATCACAATAAGCTGTCACCATCAACCACTACATACTCTCACTCAGCATCTCAGGCAAACAAACAGCGACTGCACAGCCAGTGTGTTGCAAATGTGCAGGCTCAAGATTTTTCTTCAGACATCTCACTGCCAGCTAATGGTAAGTAATGCACTTACTAAAATGAGTAAAAAAAAAAAGACATACAGAGAAAAAAATAGTAAAAGGTAAAGGAAAAAGCAAAGCAGAGTACAGACAGAGAGAAATAAAAGAGAGAAAACTGAAGAAAAACATTGCTGAGGGAACAGGCGTCCTTTTCAGACTGCCTATCCTTTTGAAAAAGGTGCACTGGTTACAGGTGAAACGGTAAATTATCAATTAACTTTTTGTTTTAAGAGTCATCGATGCATGTTGTGATTTTCATACAAGTAGTTTTGTTTGAATGATATCAAAAAATTCATCTCTGCATCCAGAGTCAGATTAGAAAATAGGTTGGGGTAAACAGAAGTAAAACTAACGCCTCTTGGTTGTATGCCGTTGTGAGCCAGTCAAGGTGCAGCTACATTTTACATCCATGTCTGTCCAGACTCATATGGAGTAATGACAGTGGCCAATGCTTCCAATATGGATGTTGCTAAACAGAAGCTACATATCCTTAAAACATGGATGCTTCACACACATCTTCCCCCCAGCAGCACAGAAGATCTATACAATCAGCAGAGTTTTAAGGTGGACACCCAAGATTAGTGTCACAATTCAGTATCTAACCAAATGTCTCCCCTTCTGAGATATAAAGCAAAATAATGGCAAGAGAAGTGTTTTTGCAGAACATTATGATGTCCCAATGACGCTGACCTTTGACCTTTTGCACTAAAAGGCTGTCACTTCATAATTTTATCCAATTAGACATTTGTTTGAAATGTTGTCATAATTAGTGTATTAATACTTGAGCTATTGCAAAAAACAGGTTTTCTAACGTCACAGTGACCTTGACCTTTGACCACCAAAAACGAATTGGTACATCCTTAAGTCCAAGTGGACATTTGTGCCAAATTTGAGGGACTGAGATATCACATTCACGAGAATGAGACGGATGCAAGATCATAGTGACCTTGACCTTTGACCACTAAAATCTAATGGTTCATCATTGAGTCCAAGTGGACATTTGTGCCAAATTTGAGGGAATTTCCTCAAAGCGTTCTTGAGATATCACATGTGATGTGTGGAACTTTTCAAATGATAATCAGTAAGTATGTGATTGTAAGTCAGCCCTTGAACCTGTCAAAAACTGAGAAATTACACTTTGTAAGCGTTCAGAAATTATTTGTATTTGTAGAAAAAATTGTCAAATCAAAATTTTTATACAACCTGTCACCATGATTCTAATTTCTGATAGATGATTTAGCCTTACTGGATTAGTATATACAGTAAAGCTGTCCCTGAAATCCCATACTAAAATGCTACTTGGTGCACTAAAACAGTATGCAAGATTTTTTTTATCATGTCCAAAACCTTAGTATGAAATCAACAGCATGTGAATTCCATGCTTTTTCCAGTGAAATATTATGCAAACACTAGACACTACGCCAGCATACATATCACACAAAGCAAAGCAGCCAAGGCAGCTCTGTTTGTCAATAAGTCATAAATACCTTTAGAGGTGAATAACGTTAGTTGTGAGTCTACTGCCTGATGTGCAATTTGGGAAACACTATATAAAATGCTGAGATAAGTACACCACTACAGATGGATGACATATTACATAATGTAATTATTAAGCTTTGTTATGGGTACAACATGGATTGGGCTTTTCGTTTTGCCATAGATTTGTGGCAATCAGTCATTCACTCCACCCCTGTGATTCAGAGAGAAATATCCAAGATACTATTTGGATGGTGGCCGTGAAACTTGGTACACACATAAACATTATACCTTCTAAACATCAGCTTATTAGCATCATGATATTAGCATTTAGCTAATTTAAGCATTATCTGGCAACAAAGATGCCTGGAAGATGCACAACAAGTTTCCCTGTGGTTTGTGTTTTCTAATACAATGGGCATGCAGTGCATAGTGAGCGATTTCGGACACAGGCTATATGAACATTGAAAGTTTTTGGAAAGATGGAATCCCCAGAGAGGGAATTCCATTGAGTTGAGCTAGAAAGGAAGTCCTTCACGGCTAGCATGAAGAAGAGGTATGATTATTGTGATTAAGAACTCTCTCAATGTACAAATGAGCATGTACATATACTTGGGGTGTTCATAGTTGTGCTGTGATGCAGAGTTGAATGTAATGTCAAACAATTTGTAGATTTCAAAGGTCAAATCCTACCAAATAACAAAAGTCTGTTAGTGATCTACAACAACCATGATGCACTGCAACATCTGTACAGCTGTGGCAATGTGTCTTTGCCTAATCAAATTCAAGAAGTCTATCACACTTATCTTATCAAACACATTTAAGCTACAAATAATGAGTCACTGGTGTGCTTTTCCACATTTAGGAGCTGTGTGGTCTCATTACCTGACGAGATCAATGGGCTGGTATTTGTAAAAGGCTGAGTATCTGGCCCACTCTTCATGCAGAGTCTGACAAACAGACAGGAAAGAGTCAGTGTGGGTGGATGTTGTCATGTTGTATGTTTACTAGTTTACTAGCTAATCAACAAACAATCCTCAGAGGCAAAGCTGATCTGGAGGCAGAAATAATGTGATAGGCTGAGCTAAACCTCAGTGGATAAAGTCAAAGAACTGTTTAAGAAACATTATGCCAAAGCCAAGAATAAAAGAGTAAAGGAAGAGGAAGATGATATGATGAAGCCTGACACTCTTGATGCTGAAGGGATATCACAATAAATGATCTGGTTTAAATGTCCAAAACATGAATGTCATGATGATTACTGAATGGAAAAAGAAGAAGCTGCTATTTATACTTTTTATTCAGATTTAGATTGAGGTTGTTTTTTGCTAACATACACTCCAAAAATAGTTTGCTTTGCTCCGTCCTTTGAAATTCAAGTCGTCAATGAAGTTTTTTTCTTGCCTTTAGCGCAGCTCTGCCTCTGAGAAATGTTTACTGAACTTAAACTCCAATCTGTGACAGTGTTACACAGATGGGATGGAGGAACAATCTCAAAAAAGAAAACAGGAGAAAAGATAGAAGATGACGATCGCGTTCATGAAACTATGAGCAGCAGTTTCAAAGGTCTTGTGCAGTACACTTTTAGATGACATTTTGTCTAATAGCACACTAAATGGCCCCAGCACTGTATCACATTAGCAAGGTCACTTTCTCAAGAACTAGAGCAGGGGTAGTCTTTTTGTAGTTTTTCATTAGACAGACGAATGGAGAGGAGGAGGAAGAGAAGCAGAGGGAAGAAAGGAGAACAGAGGAAGAGAAGCAGAGGGAAGAAAGGAGAACAGAGGAAGAGAGTGAGAACGAGAGGAGTCGGCGTACCTGTCTGTCATTCCTCTCCTCAAGGTGTCCGATGACCTTATAGTCACCCTGAGGAACGAGAAGAGAGTGTGAAAAACATGAGTGCACACAGGCATAATAAACAGAGAGATCTAGAACAGAGAGTGTTGTACTCAATTACTCACTGAAACATTTAGAAATACACACATTAACACAGTCACACACATATATACTATAATCATAATAATAATAATAATAAGAATATTTTTTTAGCATGTTAACTATAACCCTTGTATGCTGAGTTAACTTCTAGGACTGATTTCCTGCCTGCAATGGTTGAAGTTTATTGAAAAGGAAAATCAGCCTTTAGAGACTAAAGTGTGACTTCAATATTCTTGAACCTGGACCCATTTTCATGTTTTTGTGTCTCAGTGAAAAATGGAGATAACATTTTTTTTAAATTGGTCCAGCACTCAGTGAGACAAACAGACTGCAATGTATCCTCTTGGGCCAATTATGCCCTGTCAATTTACATCCACTCAAAGAGCTTGTTGTTGGCAAAATCTCTATTCCCAAACCGACCGGACTCCATTTAAATAGAGAGTAATTTTAGTGTGTATAGTGCCAGAGTATTTTCACATGTAACTGGGTGAATTAAGGGTTTATTTCAACCAAACCAGAGTTGGTGATTGTCGGAAGAGTGGGAAGACAAACCAAGATGGCTTTCCAGTTTGATTTTGTTTCTGTCGACTCTGAATGAATTGTGTTACACAATAATAAAATCAGTCTCTTATCTAAATGGAATCTGGTGGGTTTGGAGATGGCAATTTCTGGTTAGACAAAAAGGATCTCTCTCTCTTTACCAAAAATGTCTATCTCTGTAGGTCCCTTTCTATAATGTTTTCAGACACTTAAAATGAAAAGCTGAGCCTGTCGGTGGCAAAAACAAGCGTTCTTTGTGAACGTAAACTGATGGTGCATAAATGCCCCTAGTGATTACACTGAAGCCTGTTTTGCTCCAGGCCTCTCACTCAATACTGGGCCAGTTTCAAAAACTGTTGTTCCCATAAGTCACGTAGACACAAACACATGGGAAAATAGGGTCCAGGCTGAAAAAAAAAGCTACCCTTTAAGATTTGCTACGAACAGGAAATACATTGCAAAAGTGTATCTCTAACTTTTCCTATTTTGTGTATCGCATCATAACATGTTCGTGAAGTTGAGAGCACAGATTGCAGAGACATGTTCCTTATTTGTGCTTCCAATGTTCTTGTAAATTGCTTCAACATTTGTGTCAGCTGCTGAAAATCTGAACTTGATCTTTCCTTGGATTCTTATTTTTGGCCATACAGCTAAACAAACTCTACAATACCTGCTAGCTGAAAAAAAATATATAATGTAACCAGTTTGACAAAAATGAGATGCAATAACGCTTTCACTTTTATTTCTTTATCCATAAAGTTTCCATTCTCTGCAAATTGAATGCTGTGGTGAAATAAATTGAAACCAATGGCCATCTACTGGGAATTCAAGGCTTCACACTTACGTCATGAAGAGGGAAGGCAGCGTCATACACGCCTTTAGCTATCAATGTGCTGATGCCTGGAAAGGAGAGAGACACAGAGACAACCCCAAGGGAGTATTTAAACATCACTTTAAGGTGCTTTTCTCCTTCAGCCTTGTCATCCGAATCATCATTGAATTCTTAATACCCCTTTCATGCAAATCACGTTCTGTATCCACTGGAGAGAAGTCACGGTCGAAAACAACTCTTGTCTTCAGTAGTGGCTTGGGCTGAAGATTGAGTTTTAAACCATAAATCAAAGCAGATGGTGAAGTAATAGTGTCATTAAGGAGAGGGTTTACACCAAATGTGCTCCAAGATGTGGCATGAAATAAAGTGGTAGCCATTATAAAAGAGCACCTCCTGTTATTTATCTCACATCTAGTACTGCTCTCAGCTCACATTCCAAAAGCAAGTTCTCCTGAATTCACACCAACCACAAAGACTAAAATTCAGCTGCTGTGTGTTAAAAAGTGGCCTTTGCACCCCAGCTGTGTCTGATGTGGCATCAGGCCACACCCTGCAGCCTGCATCATTTTAACTCTGCTCTTCAGTGTCAGGCAGACTGGCATTAGGGTTACGTAGGTACCCGCTTTTAGTCTTTGGAAAATTTCATGTGGGAAGTGATGGCCTGACCTGTGAATGTCAGGACCGACACTGACATCAGATGACCTGGCACTCGCTACTGGCTCTTTCATCAAAGTCATTAATCAATTAATTATCACTGCCTCAAAGGGGGGACTGGGAACTACACAGTGATTAGCTGTGCTATTAATGAAACTCACGACCAACACACACACTTACACACACATTCAAATGCATGAATGCACACTCAACCAGCTAGATACAACCACAACTCCCAGAGGCCCCTGTTTCAATCTCTGCCTGACCCAGGAAGTGTGACCCACTTGTAGAGGAGATGGAAGAGGGTAACGGACACATGAAGAGTGGGCTCTGTGTGTGTGATAAAAATTATACACCCAAAAATGAAGAGCAAAGAGAAGATAGAGGTTAAAGAGATGCAACTCGCATTTCTCTCCCCATCCTCCCCTGCAGCACCATCAGTACCCTCTGGCTAAGACCTTCTGCTGTGATGGAAACGCCAACCAGACATATGGTGGACACTGGAAATGAAAGGAGTGTCAGCTCGATGCTATATGGGACTGATGGGTCTCACACATGCATAAACAGCTGCTATTTGCATGTCATAAAAATCTACATACATATAAATGAAACACCTGCATTAGCATGAATGCAGACTTTGCTGAAAGTCTTGAGATCTAGAGTCATAAACAACTGACACCACTGCTGAAGTTAATCATCCCAGTGGACGTCTGCAGTTTAAAGTGTTAATAAGTGAAGCCACTTTCTAGGAACAGCCCCATTTGAACAAAGTGTTGCTGCAGTACAAAGCCCAGACAGAACAAATTAGGGTTAAACAGATGTTGTCCAATTACGCAATCGTTGCTCTCCTTGTTTGGGTCACCAGCTGCACTTCACTTCACTTCACCTCCCCAATGACCTCCCGGTGGACATATCACTATCACCTCCCAGCTCACCTGTAGTCTATCAAAGTCCAGACATGTTTGAGAGTCACAACACCACCTTGAGCTGACAGCTGACTTCCCCCTGCAGTGTCTCAGCCAAACATGTTACACAAGTCGTCCACTGCACCTGGTTTTACTTTCTTATCTCACCCCTAAAAAGGGACAATACACCTTTTACTCAAGCTGCTGCTTATTCTCTGTGATTTCACTTATTATCATACCTGGTGCTGGGATTTTAATTCACCAGGCTACTGATTAGTTTTACAGCACAAACCCCCAGTTTCAGGTAGGACTGGGCAATGTATCAATATATATATTGATATTGTTATCTGAGACCAAAGCCAAGGTATGACAAGTAACATGACGTCAAGGACACACTACGCTATTGGAAACGGCTCTCATGCACATTCACAACATCTAATGTTTGCAGGTAAGGCACAACTTGCAGATAACAGTGAAAAACAGCTTTCATCCTATCTACCTTGGTGCTTATTTGAGCACAGCTGACAGAGAGGGGAGGTCTAATTATCATGGGTAATCGGTTTAAACTTTACAGAAAATAAAGAAACACATTGTATTAAATGCTACTTTTAGTAGTAGCAACCAAGGGGTGTTCAAAACATAGCAAAACAAAAGACAAATGTGGACAAAATAGGCAATTAACTGTAGTTTCAAAGGCCCAACCACACAGGCTGATTTCAGTCTTCAGTAACATGTTTGAATTCATTTGATGCAGGAAAAAAAACACCTAAAATCACAGGTATCATTTGTACAGGCTGTTGAGCATTTATCTAAAGTAGCTGGGCAAAATACTTCCGTAACACACTGTTAACAATCATAGAGGAACAAATAAGTTACTCACTGACACTCAGATTTACTAACGGGCATATTATGGACCCGTTACGCATAAGTAATACATAGCGCAATCACAAACGCACACAGACAAGCAAACACTCAAAATGTGAAATATTAATAGGCTACGTCTATATTTGCCCAGAGGAGATTTGTTGAGCATTAATGATCTAATTTAAGGTGATACAAGTGATATTAGGATCTTATTTTAATCCTTTTTTTGCCATACACAATTGATGCCTATGGACTAGATATCATTTTAGATTTTGGATACCGTAACATTGTAAGTGTAGTCTTTTCTTGGTTTTAAAGGCTGCATTACAGTAAAAATATGTAATATTCTGCACTTACCAGACTGTTCTTTTATTTGTCTTTACCCACTTAGTCATTATATCCACATTACTTACGGTTATTCATGAAAAATCTCATTGTGTAAATATTATTTAAGGCACCAAAAGTCAACCCTAAAATATAGCAAAAAAAACTATATTGAGGCATTTCATCAAAAATATCTTGGTATTTGATTTTTTCCATATCATCCAGTCCTGTTTTTGAAAGAGTACAACCTCATAATGACTGGCATTTTCAAAAGAATGTATGTATCACAGATCGGTATCACAACACATCCACTACAAAGGTTCATAAAGCATTTCTATAAAGGCAAACCAGGTTTCGCTCTAGTATTGTGATTCATGAACTCTTCATTGGACCTCTGTTCTTATAGTGAGGAATCTCCAAAATTTGATATTGCTGTTTTTAATCAATTACAGGCCAGCATACTTCAAGAGGATGAGATGGGTGGGCAGAGGAAGTTTCACATTGTGTTGCTGCAATTCCTGGCGCTTGCCAACATAGGTGGATAGACTCATCAATTATTTAGTGCACCATTTTTGACTAGGACCAACATAACGGAAAAATCATTTACATTTGGCAGATGCTTATGCCTGCAGCAAGTATATTACATCCAGAATTGAATCCACCTTCTTCCATTCATCTAATCACTGACCAAGCCAAAGTGTACCAATCAATGTGAAGAATGCATGGTGCTAGAAAAGACTGCATATATTTATCAGATACACACAAACACATGAACTGTTTGGTATCCTCACCTATGGTTTGACAGGTCCGTACACACACCGTCCGTCTCAGGATCTCATATACCTAAGACAGATGCAAGAATATCAGACTGGAGATACAAGCTAATCGTGGACAAACATTAAGGTGAATCATATTTAAATCTGAATGAATACTTACTATTCGGCCCCTTGTGGCGTTGTCAAAGAATGTGTCTTTAGATGTGATGTTGTACCTGAAAGAAACAGACAATGAATACAAATCTGTAGGTGTGCATTTTCTGTGTGTACATCTTTACATCCTTCTATCTATATAGTGTATAGCATGCAAACATACACAGCTTTTTTTTAATGAAATTTTTAGGTTAACTGGGATCCTATCAGTCAACTCAACCCATTAATTGATCAGAAGAAGACCAAAAACTAAAACGTCTGCCAAGTAGATGACTGTGTCTGATGAAATACTGTATACTATACTATCAGAGCTTCTTAAATTTAAAGTATACTCTCTAAAACTCTAGGCTAACACTGTGCATTAATTTAAACCATGATTTAAAATAGAAAAAGAACACAAAAGAACAAATTTTAGCCAAATATCATAAATAATCTCATTGTGTCAAGAGTTGTTACAGAATCTTATTTTCTTCAATAGCACGGGCTACCCACCATCCCTCAGTAAGTCATAGGAATCAAGGTTAGCATGGCCACTTACACTAAGGTTTTAGAACTTCATAGTGTATTTCAAAGTGTTGGCACAGACTACAGGAGCAAGTATGGGACCAAGAGAATCTACCAAAAACGTGTATTCCTTTATAGTGAGCCTTTGTAACTTTGTAGTCTTGTTTTAAAATCAGCTGACTTCTGTTTATCTCTGGTTTCTAATATTAAAGGAGGGCATAGTACGGTGTGTGTGTGTGTGTGTGTGTGTGTGTGTGTGTGTGTGTGTGTGTGTGTGTCTCTCTCTCACAGGTGAAGTTTGTCTCTGGAGAAGCAGTGTGTGAGAAATTTGGTGCGATCATGGTCCTGGTGTGGTACTTTAGGCTGGAAAGGTTGGTTCATTTTCCTCCACATTGTAGTCATACTGGACCCAAAGCCACTTTCCTCTTTAAGTTCATAACTCTGATGAAACACATAACACAAAAAGAGTCAGCCAGTTACGCTTGTTGGACACTTGGGGAATAAGTGTCTTCCAGTCCTGAAGATGACAACATTAACACTGGTTGGTAAAAATGAAATATCAGTGTCTCTGTACGATTGTTGATTAAATTTGGTGAGATAGACTAACACAGAAACACAATGGGTCCTTTTCACTGATGGCAATTCATGCTTCCTTACATCCTCTCACCTCTCCTGTGCCAGAAATTATTCCCCCTCCACATCATGGAGGATCTTTCAATCCCTTAAATGCACCTACGCGGCAGTCTTTTATCAAGTGGCATTATGTATAAATGCCCCACCTCCACATGTGGCACAGTAACTGATGTCACTTAAAGGCCAAGACACATCAAACAGACTTCAAGGAACAGGTGATGATGACAGCCCCCTGCTGTGTCGTCTGTGTCTCCTCCTGTGTCTCAGCCAAAAAGTTGCACATAAACACACCGCAAAGACTACAGGCAACAGCCAACCAGCAGGTACGATCTGCGTCTGCCTGAGAGCAAATAAGTCTTCACACCAGCAGATGGAAGTCGTCTGTAATCGCCATTCAAAAAGGCAAAGCAGACAACCATCTTGACACTAGATAGCCAGTTATCACATTCACAACATAATCTAGTATTGAAAGAACAGAGGATATTTACCGTGCACCAGTGAACAATAACGCAAACCATCACGAACCATTTTTCTAAAGAGCTCAATGGCTAAAGAACAATAATCTTACTTTACCTAACAAGTTTGTTTCAGTCTCACTCCCTCTCCACTTTAGCTGTTTGTTTACTTTCCTCACTTCTTTTCTTCTCGTGCACTGAGCTAAACTGCCAATCAGTGATTTCATTCACTGACAGGCTCTGTCATCTCTGTTGCCAATTCAACATAGTGAATTGGCAACAAAAAAGCCAATCTGCACCAACGAGGGGCAACAGCATTACACAGCACACCAACTAGGGCAACAGATGCTTACCGACAGCCCAACACTGACCGATAGCCGACTGTCAACTTGGTGTGTCAGGACCTAAAGACTGATGCTATGGAACCAAGGATTTCTCATTTGGCAGCTTCAGCTCCTCTATCCTGACGTCAATTCCTTGCGTCTCTCTATTATATCCTCACTGGCAGGAGGTAAGACACGAGGAAGAGACACGAGTGAGGGAAGCAAGTAGACATGGTAGCATAATGAAAAGGACCCCCTGTCTGTGTCCACTGACTGCTGAGAAAATCAAAACAGATCTGAGGTCTCACCGTCTTAGTGGGAACTTTAATCTTGAGAAACTCAGCCTCTCGACACAGTACTGGCCAGGGCGCATGGAGACGAGTGAAGCTGGGACCGTGGGTCTTTAACTGAAAAACAAACAAGACTTCATGTTAAGATATGATATGATGTTAATGAATTATATGGAGTCTGGAATCTTCAGGAACAGAAAAATAAGCATGTCTTCCTAGTTATTTGGTCAGATTCAGTGGATACAAGTTCAGTTCATCTTTCAGTTTATTTCACTCATGTTAATGCACAACAATCAGATACACAGCAACACAACTCTATTACCTTTTTCTTTACATAATTTCCAGTTCATCCTCCATCATTACACACTCTTTCAATATAAACTCAATCTATAGACAGTGAAACTATTTCATCCTCTTTTCAACTAGCAAAAACCATAAACTTAGCTTTGTTCATATTTAAAGATAACTTATTATTAATCAATACACCATTTAAATTTGACCATTTCATTTCTAATGCTTCCTGATAAAACTTTGAAACATCTCCTGAGCAAAAAAAAACAATTGTTTCATCTGCAAACAACACAGCCTGCAACTTAACATTTCACGTATGTCATTGAAATACAAAATAAAAAGTTTAGGCCCCGGAATCAAGCCTTGTGGGACTCCACAATCAATCTTCAATAATTCAGATGTATCACCAGCAAACTATTCATATTGTTGTCTGTTATCTAAATAGCTGCTTAACCAGTATACTCCTCTCACCCCATATGTATGTCATTTAAAATTTAAGATGGTATGATCCATAGTGTCAAATGCTTTCCTCAGATCAATAAATACCGCAATTGTGTATTTCTTCCTTTCTATCGCTGTTGTAATTTCCTGTTATTTTCATTAATGTTAAAGCTGTAGATTGATTTGTCCGAAAGCTGTACAGACTCTCACTCAACAAATGATTTTTTTAAATGAATGCAATATGTATGTCCGCAGGCCACATCTGACCAACAATAGGGGCCATATGGTGGCCTGCCAACCATATTGTAATTCACAAAAAATAAATACATTTATAACTTGATTCACACTGGGGAGGATCCCTTATTACTTATATATTTATATTATTAATGTTTGATTATTAACTTACCCCTGGCCTCCTGTCATTATGCAAAAGTGGCCCCTAGGCAACGCAAGTTGAGTATCCCTGGTCTAGATGCTTGAGAGCTGCAAATGGGTCATATTGTTTCTTTAAATTGATCCCAACAAGACACAAGGCACTCAGTCATCCAAAGTCTTCTTTTTTTATACGGTAAACTTTTATGTTTTGGGAAATATATAACCAGATTGCTTGGCTGAAGCTACCTGCTGGCTTACCAGGCCATCTGTCAGTACTGTTTTGCAATCCAATATAGTTGACAGACCTCAGTGTGTGCTGCACTTGCCTCTCAACTGCTTTTGCCTCCAGACCTTTAAAACTGGCCTCTGGAGCTGCAACATTTCAGATTACACAATATTCCACACTCTATGTAAGACTTCACATCTGAACCAGTCACAACCAATCCCTGCCTTCAACCTGACCCACTGAAACACTTTGGCTGATCAGTTTGGCCAGCAGCATTACTGGTATCTATAAAAGATGGATGTAGGCTCTGTTCCTTAAGCAAAGCCTGGAGCTGTTTTCCTCGCCGGTTTGTTGTTGCAGCCTGTTCCTGACACATTGCATGCTTTTCATGCTCCTATCATCATCCCCACCTAACACATATAATGTATTTACTGTATGTCAAATAAAATCCTGACTCATCTAGCGTGTTCTGCAAATGAATCATGGTCCAGTGCCCACACTGTAATTATTATTTAGCATTAAGATGCATTAGGAAATTTTGATAATTAGCAGCTCCAAATAGCATCAAAGGGTAGGTGATTGAATTATGAACATTAATGCATTAACAAACCCACTTCTGCCTCTCTGCAGTTGACTAAGGAGAACAGAAATAAATAAACAAAGCGCTAATTGTGAGCAGCAGTGAAAACAGTTCCTCCAAAATCATAATGGAGCTGGTGGTGGTGTGAGCGAGAGTGTTACCAGAAATGAAAGCGAGCCAGCAGAGGACGACAGCCAGGTAACCTTACCCTCCTCAGACCCCCATCAGCTTCTGCGAGAGGGGGGGGCAGGGGTGAAAAGAGAAAGGTGGCATGGCAAATGATGGAAACCTGAAACGATTCCCTTTCTCCTCTCTCGACTCCTACTCTCCTGAGATCTTTCACTCCCCCTCACAACCCCCCCTCCTCACATATATTACTGTACCTTCTGCTACCCGCTAGACACAGTTTCACTGACTGATTGACTGACTGGCTGACTCACTGACTGTCACTCTTCCTCCTCTTATATTTCATTATCTTCTCCCTCACTCACATCCACACTGTCCTTTGTCCAACTTGGGGACACAGAGGAGCAAAAAGCCACCTGACCTGTTCATACATATGGATATCCATGAGACATGTTTGCAGCTAACCTAAATGTTTGTTTTAACATTTTTAACTTGGACTAAAAGTCTACAGTGTAGAACTTTAAAATCAACTGAAGAAGCTCAATGATGCATGAAGGTGGTAACCTGATAACGACACTGAACTGCTATGGTTTCACCTCCTTTATTTAGTCTGATATTGCGTTCATGTCAGCTGTTGTTTTTGTCCTAACTAATTAGTGTTAGCACAGAACCAGCAAGAGTGAGTTATTTGTCTCAAGGATGTCGTTTCAAGTCAACAGGGAAGATTCTTGCATTACCTAGCATCACCCCAGACATTTTGATGAAGATGTGAGCAGTGATTGGAGTTGAGCAACATATTTATTACATTAGAGATACATGAAGTTATTTAAAGACAAACTAAATGTATGTTTCAACTCAAGGATAACTGCACCCAGTCTAATAATACTGTGAGTACTGCCAGCAGTCGGTAACAGCTTTGTGCAGCCATGATGTAGTGTAGCACTTTAGTACCATGGCTGTGGTCACAAATAGAACAGACCACACCCAGCTGTGTTGTTGAGTGTGGTCAGAGGTAGGATTCAGGAAGTCCAGTTGGAGTGAAAAATTAATACTTTATCGGTCGCCAAGACAGTGCAAAATAATCTGTAATACTGACAGACAGGATTTTGCAACTTTTGGAAGTTATTTTATTTGTCATCAGGACAATTACAAGGTAAACAGTAGAAATGCAGTGCGCATATAACGGCTTGACTATATGGAGAAAATGAAATCTAACAATATTTTTAACAATATCGATATTGCAACAATATTGTAATGTCAACTATCGGTGCTTCCAAAGTATTAATAACTTGAAGATTTCTCGACTTAATGACATTTATGCTCATTGCTGTAAGTGCAATAAACCCTTGGCCAATAAAAAGCCAATACTTTATTAAACCTTTGAAACCTGGAACAACATCAGTTTTCTTGTGCTGCTTTCAGAAAGGAATCAAGCTCAGGTTTCAAAGGGTTAATACACGTGTTCAACAAGCATAAACACATGGAAAGCAATGTTTTTATCTGCTGTATCCGCAGTAACTCATCCACCGCCACTACTGTCATGTTTTACACAAACTCAACGCGCTAGCTCAGCTAAAAGCAAATTGTTAAAAATAAGCTAAAACAAAAGCTGTCTGCATGTAGACTGATTATCTTAGTCTGCTACGCATCTTACAATTTACCAGCAGTATCTGCAGGCAGTGAATCACCTCAGCAGCAACGGGAAGTGAAGGGAGGACAGGAGGAGGAATGACTGATTCGGACTGATGTCTGTGTTCTTCACTCTGTCTAAACTTCACTCACTATTTGTTATGTCAGGAATATCATTCATTTTATTGACAGTTTAGATTTGTTTCCAGCAAGATACTGAGTTTGTGTAATGACTTTGCTGTTGTAAACGTTATTGTTGCTGCTCTAGAAACAATATTTAGTTCTATTTAAAAATTCAATAATTCTGTTATTATTTAGTAGGGGGAAAAAAATTACAGTAGCAATGAAGAACCGAACCAATATGGAGTACCAAGAAGAGTAGTATCGATAAAATCCTAACAATAGTCATCCCTAATCACCAGTAATGTGGATATGATGACTGAGTGGGTAAAGGCAGATAACAGAGAAGCTAAAACAGTCCATTAAGTTCAGAAAATGACCGTTAAACTTCAATTAATAGCCCAGGCTATTATTCGCTTAAATCACTGAACTCAGTGGGCCTATATCTGGGACAGGCCTTTAATTCCTTTCACACAAAACGGTTGATCAGCAAACATCAGGAAATACAGTCTAACTATTTAAACTAGTATGGCTATTATAAGCTTCAGGTAATATATCAGTTATGAATCAGTCATTTGATCATCGACAGACAGCACATCAGAGAGTGTTACGGCACTCTTAGCTGCTTGGCAACCAGATCAGGTGTCTAATTAAAGACAGGCGTTTATCTGTCAAAATGTGCAGCCACACTGGGCCAGTAAAAAGGACTGGGCGTTTAATTGGGACTATGCTTTTAATTAAGTTTTACAGTACATCATGGTATTGTAATACAGCCTTTAAAACCCCCAAAAAGACAACACTTACAGTATTACAATATCCAAAATCTAAGACAATAGCTATTCTCTTATCACCATGTCGATATCATATCAATATACTGCCCTGCCCTATTTCACATTACAAAGTTTTTTACCAGTAAGATCTGACCTGGTGACTCTAGAAGTAAATTTGCAGAGTAGGAAACTGATAGCTGACTTCAGGAGCTTATTGCACTGTCACAAAAATTAAAAAATCAGCACTGATTCATTGACATTATGTTCAAATGCTACAGTGACTTCATCCTTTTACTTCCACATCTACACCTCGCTCTCCTCCCTCACATACTTGTACCCACCTCCTACCAACATCCATTATTTTCTACCCACTTGCTCACATTAATTTCTCAGATCTCTCGCCCCCTTTTCCTTCCTCCTCCTTCCCCTCCTCGCCCTCCCCTCCCTCCTCCCTTATCGCTCCATCAAAAAGCAAGGGATATAAATACCTTTCAGCCTGGAGAAGGTTAATTAGTAGAGGGATTTCCAATTAGCTCTTTATCTCTGTAGGGGGGGTAAC